CGGCCTCTTCCGCTGGCTGCAAGCCCAGCTGCAGGCTGAAGTTTCGCAGGCGGCTCTGCAGCTGCGTGAAGGCGGAATCAAGCTCACTCAGGGACAAGAGGGATGCGTTCTCGGCCAAGGCCAGGGCTGGGTCAGTGCTGTTGGCATCCGCCAGGGACTGGGGGATCTGCTTCAGCTTGTCTGAGACCCTGTGAGGACAAAGGGAGACCAGGGTCAGTAACTGACTGGGGACTCCATCCCCTGCGTGGCCTCCCAGGCTGATCACCCAAAGCCTATCTTAGCTGGGTTTCCCCAGAAGCTGACTTTGAGGCAAGGATTGGAGGGTAAGTAGTTGATTTGGGACAGAGTTACAGGCCAGACTGGTAGAGGGGTAGGGAAGTGATGTGAGGAGGAGAGTAAGTCTATAAAGGATGAACAGGCTACTCCTGTGGGCAAATCGCCCTGCCTGGGGCCCTGAGCGCCAATGTGGAACACACCTTAGGATTCTCTCTCCCGAGGGGTGAAGCTCCCTGCTCCCCTTCGCTGAGGGCTGCACCCAGAGCACTTCCTCCCCAGTCCTTGCGCCTTACTAGTGTGCAGGGGAGAGAAGTTCTTGGGTGAGTGGCTGGGGCTTGAAGTAGAGCCCCGTAGACACGAACTGGAACAGTCCATGGGGAGCAACACAGTGCCCTGGCTGACTCAGCGCAATTCCTACCCATCTTGGTTGATGCTTTCTTGCAGGGGCTGTGCCTGGGAGAGCGGGTCTAAAGAAATCTTTCTATGCCTAGCAGGCCTATTGGCTGGGCCACTGCACACAGCCATCCACAGAACTCTAGGGGGAAGCGTTCCCAGTGTAGCCTATGTGAGTGCACACCCCTGGAGTTGAGCAATACACAACCTGGGCAGCTGCACATGGCATCCCCGCTCACCCTCATCCATGACTCTGGATGAGTAGAGGGGACGTGCTGTTAATTTCAGGCATCAGCCTAGGCCAGCAAGTTAACTCATAATAATAAACCACAGCCAGCAAGCACTGGACACCAACTATGTGCCAGGCACTGGGTTAAAAGCTTCTACACTTCCTCATTTAATCTTTACAGTAAGGTAGGCCCCACCATTAGCCAAGTTTCAGAGAAGAGGAACTTAAGACAGAAAAGTGAAGTAATGTGTCTAAGCTGTCAGAGATAGAAAGGGCCAGAATTAGGATTCCAGAGCAGGTTGCCTGTGTCCAGAACCCAAATGTCACCACCGAGGACCTGTGCACGACCCACTGCCCGGGCACAGGAGGGGTCTGATGACCACTGGTTGAAGGATTGCCTTCGCAGGCCCAGAGTACCCTACAGCTACCTCTCCCCTGCCCCCCTTGATAAGGAAGACTTATGCTGCATCCCTCACCTCGATATGATTTTATTTTCCTTTTCAATAAAGACAAAAACCACCACCACAAAAGCCAGGAAAAGGGCATATTTGCTTCTCATTCTCAGACTGTGCAGAAAGTCCCGGCAGTCCTGGGGCAAAGCAAGTCCTTTCTCCATGGGGAGGTGTGGGGCCGTGGGCACTCAGCTCCGGGACAGCACTCGGGGCCTGGCTCCTTGTCTTCAGGTGGGGGACACCCTCATCCTGTGGAGAGACGGGCTGTCAGGACACCCTTGTCTGTAGATGAGAATGAAGAGGAGCTTTTCCACCAGACTTTTGAGGGTCCTGGTCCTGCTTAGCAGCCAGAACCCCGGAAGCACTCTCCTAATGGATTCTGCCCCAAAGAGATTTGAAATCTGGTCATTTAAAATGTTCATGAACCCTCTGATTCATCCATGCCACCTCCATCAGTTTATCCTTTGACCTCACACATGACTCAAGGGCAAGTATATGGACAAGAATGCTCCTTGTAGTACAAATATATGCAATAGCAAGAGACTGCAGACACCAAGTAAAAGTGATGGGAGAGGATCGATGCTGATGGGAGTAATCTACTATCTATCGTAATTTTATGTATATAGCAAGCTGCAGACACAATGTGTTTATATAGAGCAGGGTTTCTTAACCTTAGCACTATTGATATTTTGGACCAGATAATTCTCTTTTGTGGGAGCTCTCATGTGTATTGTAGGATGTTTAGCAGCATCCTTGGCCTCTACTCATTAGATGCCAGTAGCGTCCTCTCTGCTCTGATGTGACAATCAAAAATGTTTCCAGACATTGTCAAATAAATGTCCCCTGGGCAGGAAGGAGGTGCAAAATCATCCCATTTGAACAAAAATGTTTTTCAGTCAGAGAAAAATATAGATGCTGAATGTAAATAGACTGTGATGACGGGGATAGACAAGGTCTCATAACCAAGGGCTGGGGAGGTCAGGAGAGAAGGGTGGGGAAGTCTTATGTTTGCTGTATAACACTGCACTGTTAGAAATTTTATAATATGTTAATTTTTAAAATTAACCATAGCATATGAATTCTAACAGAATCCTTCTCATGGCCTTGGCCTTCAGGTCTCAGCTTCCTGGGGCAAGTTGTCCCATGGGACAAGTTAGGGCTCCCTGGCCCTGCCACTATACAAAGACTTTGTCATGAGACAACCCTCCTTATAAGGACTTGTTCAGCGCTGACCATCCCTTCACGGAGGACAAGGAATTTGTCTTTCACTTTTCTCTTAGCATTGGGCCCGGAACACAGGAGACACTCATGCGTTTTGCTAAATGATAGAAGAGATAAAGGAATAAGTGGCCTTCAGTAGAAGGTGTATATATATTTTAAAGCTGGAGCAAATGCAGCATTGCCCCATGGAGCCTGAATCACCATTTATTTCATTCTTGCTGTCTGTCACACACCTGTTTTGCAGCATGAGCCCCAGATTCCAGTACAACATCCCCTTCTGAAAGTCTACCCCTTTCTCCACAGGAAACGGTCTGCTCTAAGTATGGAAAAATCTTACTGTGACCTCGTGCAGGGCACCCAGGAGCATTCCTGTATCTGGAAAAGATGGATTTTTCCCTAGGGAAGTAGCTAGTATTGACATGGGGGAGTGGGAGAGTAGGAAGGTGAGTCCCAGGGCTACAAAGTAGTCACACAATGGAAATAGCTTCAGGGACAGCCAGGAAATCTGTCCTTAGGGGAAAGCAGTGAGGAAGGGGTTCTGCATGTGAGATGTGCACCCTGGCAGCTGAATGGAGGTCCCAGCTGTGCAGGGCAGAGTGGTGGTGGGGCAGCTGGCAGCTCTCCCTAATGGGGAACTGGGGGTGCTTCCTGAGTGTGGGTGGGTAGAGAGGGACCTGGAAGGAAGAGGGCTGAAAGGACAGCTCCAGGGCAACTGGAATATTCCTACCTCTTCCAAAAATTTCTGGGCCTTTTCCCATGCACTCTAAACAAATATTTCTTGAGCACCTACTGTGTGCCAGCCTCTGGTCTAGGCACTGGGGATACAGCAGTGAACAGGCAGACCCAGTCCATGCCCTCATGGGGCTTGTACTCTGGTTGGAAGGGCCAACTGGAATGCTACCAGCTAAAGTTTATCGAATGCTTACTATTTGGTGCCAGGTGCCATGCTGAGCACTTGATTTGCATTTCTACATCAAATACTCACAAAAGTTATATTACAGATGAGGAAACAGAGATTGAGAAAGGTTAAGTAACTGGCCCAAGGTTCCTCTAGCAGTGACCTGATCACCCCTGCCAGATCCAGGTCATTCAAGTTTCTTAATGCTCCCCAGTGACCCCCTCTGTAGCACATATGGTAGGGCTTTCTGCTGATGGTCTGTCTGTCTCTCCCAGACTGCAAGCTCCCTAAAGTCAGGACTAGCATCTAGAATGGCACCCGGCATATGCCAGCTGCCCAACAAATCAGTGGTGAGTGAAACTATCAGAGCTGGTGCCTGCTCGCTGCCTGGCTCGCTGCCTGGCAGGCTGTCGGCATGAGTTTGCAAAGTGACTGGTAGGCCCATGTTCCCATGCACCCTGTTTAGCCCACTGTGGGTGTGAGGCTGCCTGTCCTACTGGGGGAGGGGCTCAACAATGAGTCTGCAGAGCACAGGTGTTGAAATCCTGACTTTCCGCCCTGTTAGCTCTCGGCTGAAAGTTGCCTGGGTCTGATGGTGGGAGGGAAGCAGAGGAACTGAAACCAGAAGTCCCGGGTTCCAGTCCTCCCTGTGTATCTACCATGCTTTGTAACCCTGTATAAATGACTTAACCTCTCTGGGCCTCAGTTTCTTCACCTGTAGCATGAAAAGGGCAGTACCTACTGCATCAGGTTGCTGTGAGGAACAGTATCTGGTGTGTGGTAAGCATTCAGGAAATACTAGAGAGGGAAGGAAAGGTGGGGTGGGACAGGGTGGTTGTCCTCTCTGTCTTCGCCCTTCTGAGTTAACATCTTTGATAAGATTTAGAAGTTTGGTTGCCCCGATGACAAAGCTCCTGAACCTTCTCCTCCCCTCCCTTCCAGGCACTGTTTATTTGAGTTGACATCCAGCCTCACTCCCCAAATAATACAGGGTTCCTAAGAACTCTATGGCATTGCCCTGAAAGGAGACACACGGGTGAAAACTCTCTGACATGAAACACCAGGCAGGCTGTTGGCCCAAAAGGCAGGTGGGTGGGTGTGGGCATGGGCAGCAGGCGAGGGAGGCTTAGAGGCCCCAAGTAGCATGTGGGAGGTCCCTAGACCCAGGAGGTAGGAGAGGGTCATAGGTTCCAGGAGGTCACAGAGTCCTGAGCAAGAAGGACAGGTCCAGGATGGGGTCACTAGGCGAAGCTCCAGGCAGAACCTGCCCTACAGGAAGCCCTCTGCTAGAAGTGGGTCTGTGACATCTGTGACACAGGACGGACCTTCATGCTACCTCCCTCCCCAACCCAGTGCACAGGCCAGACCTGCTCCTTTGCTCAGCTCATGGGAAGAATGAAAAATTTCTTCCTTCTCTTGGTGGATGCCGCCTCCCAGGGGAGTTCTCGATACCCTTCCTCCCCACAGCACCCAGCAATGATGTGACAGCCAAAGGAAAAGGGGGCGACCCCCTGCTGGGATGCCAGCAGAGGTCACATTTCCAGGGCACCTGGGCCAGTGGTGAAGGTCAGGGGCAAGTGCCAGCCCAGTTCTGCCTGGGTGCAGAGTGGTGGTGGGACAGCTGCCTTTAGCCCGCTTATACCCAGTGCTCAACTCAAATGTCCCCTCCTCCGAATCCTTCCCTGACCACGAACCTGACCTTGACCATTGCCCCTCCCCCATCACTTTCCCTCTCAGCTTCCTGCCTGTTGCCTTCCTGATGGAAATGTACGTGCTTACTGCCTATTTTGGCCACCTGAATGTCGGCCCCAGGAGACCACAGCGTCACATATCTGCTCTGCTCCTGTGTTCCATGCCCAGAATCCCAGTGCCTGTCTGTGGGTCGGGCACAGAGCCAGTGTGCCACAGTACTTGGGGGTAAATGGAAGAATGTCCTTCCTGAAGGTTTAGCCCAGTGTGAGATGCTCGATCATTCTAAATTCATGGGAAATAAGAAGAAAAGCAGGTGTTCCCTATATGAGGGACCCGTGTGTGTGCGGTGCGTGTGCTATGAGTATATACCTGAGTGTGTTCTGTAGGCGTATACTATGGGTTGTGCTACGAGTGTGTACTGTAGGCAAAACTTCATGCTTAGCGCTTCACACACATTAGTCTCTTGAATAATCATATGGATCTGGGATGCTGTTTTGAGGATGAAGGAACTAAACTTTGGGGCTTTCAGTTCAAGCTTCTACAGCTATGCGCTAATAACGGGGAGAACAGAAAACAGCCAAAGGCACCCAGACGGACTGTAGTGAGGGAACTCTGGAAAGAAAGTGGGCTGTGAGCAGAGGTCCTAACCTCTAAGCACAGGCATCCCTCCCCACTCTCCCTCAGGCGGCCTTTCTGCTCAAGCCTCCCTCATGGCCTGGCAAAGGGCCCTCACTAGACAACAGTTTTCTACTTGGATGGCTTCCAACTAGGCCCTTGGCTTCAGTGGGCCGTCCACTGAGGCCCCAAATGGACTGCAGCCCACCCCTGGCTCCTCCTGGGGAAGGTAGGGTCCCAGAGTCTGCTGCAAATGGAGCTCTGATAAGGGACAGGCCCTGCCAGACATTGCATCAGGCTGCAAAATTCCACCCGTCATAGTGCTCAGGCCAAGAGCACGGTAAGGCTTGGGGCCTCAGCTGTTGTAGGCCCTGCTCACACAGCCTTTCCACCAGGCAGGAGGGGAGCAGCCCAGAGGAGAGGGCCTGAGAGAGGGCCAGAGCTGAGAGGGAGGAGGCTCTGAGGGCAGGGATGGCAGCAGTGAACCCCATGGTGGGTAAGCTCCGAATCAACCCATGGGCTACAGTCCTGGGGGGCCAGAAGGCTGCCTCAACCATGCCATGCTGCCAAGCTCCTGGGAGGGGAGAGCTTGGGAGGGTTTGTATGAGTCGTCTCTGGATGCCCTGGAGAGTGGAGAGAGAGGCAGGACAGGGAGAGGGAGCTCAGAGGTGGGGCTTGCCTGTGTTGTGGACAATTTTTGCTTGGGGAACACAGAAGTCCATCCAGTGGCCTGTCAGGCTAGGTTCTGTTTCACAGTGAGACATCCAGAGGTGGC